ACCTACCCACCCACCCACCTACCCACCTACCTACCTACCTACCTACCTACCTACCTACCTACCTACCTACCTACCTACCTACCTACCTACCACCACGTTCGTTGGAAACTTCCAACGTGGACGCCCCTTGATTGAAAGACCCGTTCATCATGCAGGCTGGGGGTGCGATTTCACTCTTGAAATAAAGAGGCTTGTTGGAAAATCAGGTATTGTGGTATGCTGGAGTATATTATGACTATACTGACTACTACAGTTACTATAGTGTAATCACAGTCTACTACTACTGCTACTGCTGCTGCNNACTTACTACTACATACTACTACTTACTACTACATACTGCTACTGCTACTGCTACTCCTACTCCTACTCCTACTCCTACTCCTACTCCTACTCCTACTACTACTACTACTACTACTACTAGGTACTACTACTACTACTACTACTACGACGGTTTACTTTGATAAACCACCTGGTCAAGATTGATGAAGTTTCGGACCTTAATTTGACACCCACGTTGAAGACATGGGAGAGTCTCTTTGGGGTTTCGGGTTTGGGGTCCCCCCAAAAGCTTGCGAAAGCGACTTTACATCGTCAAGCCAGTGGCCTTGAAGGTTTAGGCTGAGCACTTTAGGGTTTAGGGTCCAGGGTTCAGGGTTCAGGGTTTAGGGCAGGTTTATTTGTTTGTCGTCCGTGCACCATCCCTAGTGCCTTGAGGGGCGGGGCAATGCAAGATCCTCCAAAGACCGTGGAAAGACCCTCTCTTTGCAGACGAGTGCCATACACTACTGCTGTCTACTGCTCGCAGATTTTCAGAGTACCATCTTTACCACACATTTTGGACTGGGCTTCGGGCATCACGGCATCCCAGAACCCTGAACTCTCTACTCGAAGCTCTGTTGTTGAAGCCCAAGCCCCAAGCCCGGAGATAGTTAGTTTTTCACTTCTTCAACGAGGCCGCGCATGCGACACAGAGTCCGCTCGATGTGCACCTAGAGGCCTAGAGTGTGGAGTTTCTGTTTCCGTCCTCGCCTCACATGCTCTGCTAGCCCAGCTTGGCAAGATGCTCTTCGTGAAGTGGCGAAGAGTTTGTCGAATCCAAGCAGCTCAGGATGCAGACCATTGCAGCCTCTCCAGAGTAAGAGCATATCCTAGGAGCATTGCCTGAGCTCTGCTGGTTCGGAGCCATGGACGCCGCGCAGCCTTTGAGCGCTTCTGAGGCACCCGCTCTCGAAAGCAGCGAGTTCGCGTCGGCGTGTCGGTAGGGCTGTTTTGCGGCTACAGCTGGGACAACGCTGAGGGGCGTGGAAAGCCCTTCCGTACCCAAACCCTATAAACCCTATGAGCCCTGAGCCTTAAGCCCCAAACCCTGAACCTAAACCCTATGAGACTTACGCTTCAAGCCCTGACAGTCGCTACCTTTCGCGAGGATGCCGCACCGAACTCTGCAAGAGGACTCCTGGAGGCCACTGCGCCGAAGGGATCTATCCCAAGGGGCCTAAAGGGGCCCCAAACCCCCGAAAATCCTAAACCCCTAAACCCCTAAACCCTAAACCCCGAAAACCTACATCGCAAGCTCTCTTGCCCGAGGTCACCTGGGATGTGCCCAGTGTTTTCAAAAAATCGCGGGAGCTCCGGATCTCTACCAACGGAGGGCTTTCGAAAGCCCCTTCAGGGACTTCTCCCTAAACCCTAAAGCTTTGGTGCCCTAAACCCAAAAGCCCCAAAAGTGCCTAAACAGGCATGAGCCGCGTCTTTCCACAGGGTGGAGCCGGGAGTTTTTGAGGGTTTCGGGGTTTTCAGGGTTCGGTTTTTGTGTGCCAGGGCACGTAGGAATCTGTAAATGTCGGACAGTCTGAGGTTCAGGGTGGACCGTTTTGGATGTCGAAGGCGCCATGCTTCAGGTTCAGGGGTCTGCAGCAAGGGGTAGTGACATAGTGTCCCTTCGTATTGTCGGTGTGTGAGCTCTTTTGTGCTTGGGGCGAGGCGTCCGACATAGACAATGAGACGCCGATGAAGGGCACGAGTGAGATCTCCGAAGAGGAGCTGTTGTACGCAAGCTGGAAGTGGTTGAAAGCCCTGCAACACCTCCCTGCATGGAACGAAGACCACCCAGCCACGGGCCGAGAACAGTCTGCAAAGTCAATTCTGACAAGTTTTGGGCGATAGGGTTTGTGACTTGAGGCTGTTTCAGCCTGCAGCTTGAGTTCTGGGATTCGCACCTTTATTATGAAGGCTGACTATCTTATTAAGGACCAAAAGACCCTTAAAACTAGGATGGTATATGAACCTTAAACCCTTCTAGGCTAAACTTCTAGGGGTTCACCCTTTCTCCAGGACTTGTCAATGCTTGGATCTGGCCTGCAGGAGTTTCAACGTCTGAAGGAATTCATCTATGGGATGATTGGCTGTCTGCGGCAGTGCGAGCCGTTGCCTTAGAAACGATTTCGGACAGACGTACTCTTGAATGTATTTTGGCAGTCGGTATATCCGATACACGTGCCAAGCCATACATACATACATACATACATACATACATGCATACATACACAAACACAAACATACATACACAAACCTACGTAAACATACATAAACATACATGCAAGCATGCATACATGCATACATACATACATACATACATACATAAATACATACATGCACGGCTACGCATGTTTTCTGTCCGGTCATAGCTGAAATGAAGTTATGATACAAGAGTTTATTCGAAAAACTGGGCCTGGCTCCCACAATCCCGCAGATGTGGATTCATTCTTGCCTGCCCTTTGTTTGAGCTCAGGAGGGTCTGGGGTTTGGGGCCGCAGTTGGCTGCCTCCGCTTGGATCTCTGTCCTTGTTTTGTTTTTCTTGCTCGGAGTGTTACCCTAAGCCCTTCGGCCCAAAACCCTAAAGAAGGAATCCGAGAGCGAAACATCGTAGTCGTAGACAATGGAAAGCTTAGAACCGATCTAGAAAAATAGGTGCAGAGTGAATGACATAAAAAAACGTTTCATCTGACAGTTCAGTCATGTGTGACCCAGACGCTTGAAGGGTTCTCTTGGGCCTTAGTAGTTAGAACAGGGTTTAGGGTTTAGGGGTTAGTAGTAAGAACAGGGTTTTGGGGTGAGGTGTAGTATACTCACAGGAGAGCTACAAGAGGCCCTAGTTCCCTTACTGAATGTCAGCCTGTTCTTCTGTGCTTGGCTAAACCGCAAACACCAAACCCGAAACCCTGCGGCTGGAAAAGGCCGTTCAAAACAACACCCTGGCCCCTGGACAATCCGTTGTTTTGGCGGCCCAGTTCAACCTACAGCTTTGGACTTCTGCAGTCCGCCCCTCCTCTGTGCGACGGACCTCTTTGCAGTCGAAACGGAAAACATGCGTTTTACATGGTTTTTCTAGGTTGAAACAAGGTTTTATAAGGATCCGAGTGGGTTTCTCCAAGGCTCATTTTCTTCGTGGGCCTGCCGCTGTTGGGCCTCTTGGCTGAGCTCCCTACACTAGCCGGAGCCCGACAAAAACCGACGAGGTTTCGGGGTGGCAGACCGACCGTTCATCCTTGGGCTTTAAGTTGCGGCTTCCACGGGCTCAGTACTTTGGGTTGAATTCTTCTAGACAGGCAGCTTACGGGTTTTAGGCTTTTGTTGCGGACGATCTTGTGGATGAGCCACAGCCCGACGTCCCGCAACCCTGAACTCCTGCACCCCTAAACTTGCTGAAGCTCAAAACTCCTGAAATCCCGAAGAACCGTCGAACCCTCAGCCCGAACGTCCCAAAGATCCTGTCTAGAGCCTCTGCACAACCCTTGTAGAAGCCCCACAACAAAACCTCCCCCCGAAACCGTAAACCCTAAATTTTTAAACCCCCGAAACCCCTAAAGCCCTAAACCCCACACCCTGGAAACCCTCAACCCAAAACCCCTAAACCCCTAAACCCTTATAGTACCCTTATGGTACCCTTATAGTGCCCCTATAGATCCCTTAAAGGGACCCCTAAACCCCTAAAGCCCTAAACCCAAAGCCTCCTGAAGCTTCGGCATCCTCCCGACGGTCTGCTCTTGCAGGTCTAGCTGGTGCTTTCTTCACAACGAAGGAGCAAGGCTCCGACGAGTTTAGGGTTTAGGGTTGCGTAGGGTTTAGGGTTTAGGATTGTGTGGGGTTTGGGGTTTAGGGTTGCATAGGGTTTAGGGTTTAGGGCTGTATAGAGTTTAGGGTTTGGAGCTGCCCCTCTGTAGTGGTTTCCTGTTTTGAACCCCCCGGTGAAAATATTATAGCCTGCCTTCCATAAACGCTGGAAGCGCGAGCTAGCCGGAAAACGACAGGCTTCCCCATGGGGTTCTACCTCGGCTACGTGCCCTTCCTGCTTGTGAACAAGGGCATTGAGGTGTACTACCTCTTTCGCTGGAAAGCCTTGGCCTGGCTCTAAGCCCTGACTTAGGGTTTAGGGGTTTAGGGTTTAGGATTTAGGGTTTAGGATTTAGGGTTTAGGATTTAGGATTTAGGGTTTAGGATTTAGTGTTTAGGGTTTAGGGTTTAGGGTACTCGGAGTAGGCTGCGGAAGCTGCTGCAACAAAGGCAAGCTCAAGAAGGGACCTATTGGCCGCAACTGTCCTAAGGTCCACAAACCTTTGCGATGTGGGGGTTAGGTTTTTGGGGTAGACTTTTCGACTCTACCCCCTTTTCTGCACGAGGACCCGGTCGCGGCAGAGATCCAGAAGGAGAGCCCTGGGTGATGCTTTTGCTTTCTTTTCTCTTCTGATTGGCTTTCCTTCTTTGGGTTAGAGTCTCAAGCCCTAAACCCTAAACCCAAAGCCCTAAACCCTAAACGTTAGAGGTTTTTGGGTTCGGGATTCTGCGACTTTTTGTGGCTTGGGGTTTCGGAGTTGGGTCCTTTGGGACTAGAGCTGGGAGGTCATCGATTCAAAGCCCTCGTTTCGGCTTTAGGGGTTCAGGGTTTGGGTTTAGGGTGTAGGGTTTAGGGGTTTAGGGGTTTAGGGCTTTAGGGTTAAGGGTTTAGGAGATCATGTTTGAGACAGGAGGACGTTCTGAATCAGGGGTCTACAACAATCTAGAAGCCCTGAGCAAGCACAAAAGAACTCCTCTGGCTTCCTCAACACGATTATCACCAAGGCCCTTACCCCTGAGCCCTAAACGTCCTAAACCCCAAACGCCTAAACCCTGATCCCTAAACCCGAAACCACTAACCCCAAACCCCAAACCCTACATCCCAAGCCGCAAACCCCAAACCCAAAACCCCAAACCTTCAATCCCAAGCCGCAAACCCCGAACCCTAAAGCACACGCTAAAGTTTCAGGAGCAGCTGGCCGGCTGCAGCCTGAAGCACCCAGCGGCCCGACCCAAACGGAGGGTTTAGGGGTTTCAGGGGTTTCAGGGGCTTTAGGGTTTAGGGCGTTCAGGGGTTTGGGGTTCAGGGTAGGGTTTAGGGTTTAGGTTCACGGGTTTGGGGGTTGAGGGTTTAGGGTTAAAGATTTTGGGGTTTTCTCGGTGATTAGTAGTATGCACTTGTAGGCCCGCTAAAGCTACATTGGAATATTAGCAAGAGTATCCATGTTAAGGCTATACTATATCAACTTTATGCACCATGAGCCAAAGTATCCCCTTATAGCACCTTTAAACCTCGATATATATAGTACCATAAACGCAAAAAACTTGACTATGAGTTTACCTTAAACCCTAAACCCTAAACCCTACCTGTAACCGAAAACCCTACCTTCTTAAGGAACTATAATATAGAGACTCTAATAAGGAACCCTAAAAAGGTAGGTCTTTTCTACAGGTAAACCGTGACGCCATGTTACTTTGGGGTCGGCGGACTGGGTACCCAGGGCTCTGAGAGGTAGATAGAGAGATATATATATATACACACACCTATATATATATACATACACGTATACACATACATACATCTGTATGCAATATATATACATCTGCACATACAATGTTAGACTATAGTATGTGTATATATATGTTTATGTACGCACTCATGTATATATGCACACATCTATTCGAATTCATTTAGTTAGTAGTTATATATATATATATGTACATCTTGGTACTCTAAAGTCTACAGCCTCTTCCAGCCAGATCCGGGTCGCAAGCTGACAGAGCTGTCGGCTATGCTGGGCCCGTATTTCGGCTTGGGGTTCAGGGGTTCAGGGTTTAGCTTACACGGGTGCTGTAAGGCTTTTCGAAAGGTTCGGTGTTTCTTAACATGTGGGGTCCCTCGTTCTCGGGGGTCCTCGTACTTAGGTTATTGTCGAAGGCCTTTAGACATTAGGGTCCTATGGAAACTCCCAGGTTATGCTGATCTACTATGGTGTGATGGAGCATCTGGCACCCTGGCGCGAAAGAACTCGAAGCCTCTAGTAGGTTTTGTTTATCGCCATTGTGGTAACTCTTAGAGTAACCCCTCTACATCACCCCATAAATACCGCGAAAAGTATCTCTAGCTTAGCAAGCTGGGACAACAGAGAGGAAGCCTCTGTCCGGGAGTGTGGCACAGATTTGCACCGCAGATTCAGAGGTTGCGGCCTTCTCAGACCGTGGTGGACTGCCCAAGCCTAGACCCTAAGCCCAAAACCCTGAAAAACCTTGACAAACCCTACACCCCCAAACCCTGAAAAACCCTAAACCCCAAACCCTGAAAAACCCTAAACTCTAAAAAACCCCAAAGCCTAAGGCCCAAAGCCTCAATAGTCGGATCTAAGGATCTCTTCACAGATGTAGTGTTCACGGCCACGTCCTACGCGGCTGGCTACAAGACGCTGGCCGCCGTTAGTGCGGCCCTTCGGCGGTGACGGACAGGGCAGCTAAACCCTAAACCCGAAACCCGAAAAATAA